ATAGAAAAGTAGGAATAAAGTAAATACAGGTAATAAGAGATTTGAATTATGTTCTTTCGAAGCAGTTTAATTCAGTTTTACTTTCGTAGAAAAATTCGAAATTCTATAACACGTCCTAACTAGTCTACGTGTATGATTGATATCTCACTTGAGAAACTACACAAGATATGATCTACACATTTCACACCAAACTGACTTCCTAGACCTACATGACGTACTTCGAGAGACGCCGACTGCTCCCGGGAGGCTCACGTCTTCACACCTTAGTCTCACGACCGCACGAGACAGGATGCAGCCCTGCCAGGTCCCCTTTTGTGCTCTAGGAATGAGTCGTAGAGGCCGTCCTTTCACGAAGCCTCGAAAGTAGAGAAACCTCGGCGAGTGCGGAGGCAGTCCAAGAATGACAAGTCCATGAGCAGTGGTCGCAGAGGACTCCCCCTGTACGTGTCTTTACTGTGCAACGTAGTAGTTTTTACGTTATATTTTGAGTAAAACAAAAACCGAAAATTGACGCTGTGTAATCACCCATGAAAATTAAAACTAATATACACATTGCATTTAGCTGACGCTTTTATCCAAAGCAACTTACAATAAGTGCATTCGACCACAAACTTGAAGAAAACAGAATCATATAAGTACATCAGGTTTCATAGAGCCAAACATTTCAAGTGCTACTCAACTGGCTTTAGATAAGCCAGTCCTTTATTAGTATATAAGTGCTTTGTTAGTAATTATATCGCTCGAAGTGGAGTCGAAAGAGATGAGTTTTCAGTCTGAAGAAGATGTGTAAGCTTTCTGCTGTCCTGATGTCAATGGGGAGCTCATTCCACCATTTTGGAGCCAGGATAGCAAACCCACGTGTTTTTGCTGATGGGAACTTGGGTCCCGCAGTGCGGGTGCAGCGAGCTGTTTGGCTGATGCAGAGCAGAGTGCACGTGCTGGGGTGTACAGTTTAACCATGTCCTGGATGTAGGAAGGGCCAGATCCATTCACAGCATGGTACGCAAGTTGTCTTGAAGTGGATTCTAGCAGTTACTGGAAGCCAGTGAAGGGAGCGGAGGAGCGGCGTGGTGTGGGAGAATGTTGGAAGGTTGAAGACCAGACGAG